GCCAGGCACAACAAAAAAAATAAAAAAAATTCTTTCGTCTCATGAAAGTAATCTTTTGTGTTCCCTAATCACGGGAAAAAAGAATAAAAAAATCATAGGCGACATATTTTGGCCGAAATAGGGCGGGAAAGAGAAAAAAGAGAGAAAAGAGAGAGAGCGGGGAGAGGGGAGAGGAGAGAGGATAGAGGAGAGAAGAGAGAAGAGAGAGGAAGGAGGGGGGGGGCCAGGCGGTCAGCTCTGCCACAGCTGGCAGGCGGAGTTGCCACAAAGATATTATTACCTAATTATTTCAATGTCTGATTTTTCAGTTTTTTTGCAGTAATATTATTCAATAGTGTGTAGTGATATATTTATATAATAAAATGTGTGAACCATTGTTATACTCAAAATTATGGTGTGCATATTGGGGATTCAATTATGTTCATAAAACAATAAACAAATAGTTTGCTGTTATTCCACTATATACACAGGTTATATGTAAATATCTGCATGTTTTGGCCTCCATAACTAACCACCAAGTTGGTATAGTGAGTCAAAAAGCAATGAGGAGTGGCACACCAGCCAGCCAGCCACTGGATGACTCTCCCTTCCACTCCTCACCAACATCCTCCTCCCACCACACTGTTTTTGCTTTTATTCACTATACACAAAGGTTATATGTAATTATCCACACGTTTTGTTCACCATAACTGTACATCTAAGCTGGTATGGTGAGTTCAGGCAATAAGAGATGTAGCTACACACACAGTCAGCTGGTGGCTGCCTCCCTCACTGGTTCAAAGCCAGACGCACTAATATTTCTCCTCCAACAATACTGTTTGTGGTGTTATTACACTATATACACACACATTATATATAAGTATTTACATGTTATATTCACCATAACTGTACAAATAAGCTGGTATGGTGCCCAAAGACTAGAGTGGCCACCAGTACACAGCATGACATGTCATGCAGACGCCGCCACCTCCCTCACCAAAATGGCTGCTCCCAACATATGCACCTAATTGCTGTTATTACACTCTATACACATGTTATATAGGTCTCCACTCGATTATCCGGACTATATGGGAAGGGCCCCCAGCCGGATAATCACGTGTTTCGGATAATGGTACTTTTTCACCCTCATAGTCCTAAGTGACCATTTCCAACTATTTTTATACTACAAACAACATAATTTGAATTGCCTTGCCACATATAATTATTAAATATTCAACTAGAAACATCAACTTACCTTGTTGGTGTTCATCTTCTTGATTGATGCTGCTTAATTTAGAACCTGTACTTGAGGTCGATCTCGAACCCATTGTTGATGTGACGATGTATATTGAATTTTGTAACTAGCTCATCAAGATTGTAACTTGCTTAGCTAAATGAATTGTGGGGTTCAGTCCCTGAGCCCATTATGTGCCTCTGTAACCCTTTCCACTACCGCCCACAAGATGGGTATGGGGTGCATAATAAATGCACTAACCTAACTGATGCCACACATCTTGAAGTTAAGAATTCTTAACAATTTACTTAACCTATACTAACACAACACTAAAGTTAACACTTAAAATTACTGTACAGTTCATTAAGCAAAGTTAGTTTTGACTGCCAGCTGCTGAAGCTTCACTAGTTGAAGGCATTTGGGTTACCTGTGATGCCTCACTTGTTGAAGGCGCTTGCTTGCATGTGACGCCTCACTGGTTGAAGGCACTTGGCTCGATTTTCTTACCATATAAGAATCAAGTTTAGCTTGCCTTCTGTGTTCATTGGCCTGTTGTATGATCAGCTCTTTGGTTTGCCTCAGGCTTCACTTCACTGGAAATCGACCGGCCATTTGTATAACACGTAACTTGTCTTTAATTGTTAGGACAACCTTATTCCTCTTAACATCGCAAGAACGATTGATGCTGCTACCAGACATAGTCTTGGCCAAAAATTTTCAAAGTTACTACGAAAATAAAAGTTACAGGGGGCCTGTATTCAAAAAAATATTTCACTAATGGTGCAGCACTGGTATAACACGAGGAACGGGAGCACATGGGTTGACCAGTGTTGGACGGGTCCACTTGGGGCAGCTATAACACGTTACGTAGGCCGCCAGGAGGAAAAAGCTCAATATTTTTTAAGGAAACTTCAGCCTGTGCAAATTGTTTTTAGGAAACTTATATATTTGTTATTACATAATTACTAGTATTTCTTTTGTTTTTGGCTATGATGAATGTTCTAAAATTGTTCTAAAAAAAAATCCAGTCCTGACCCCCTTGCTCTAAATGCCACTGTAAATACTGAGCTAAAGAAAGTCCATCTTTGGCTAACTGCCAACTAACTCACCCTTAACATTGACAAAACGTTCTATATTCTGTTTCGCAATAATCAATCTAATCAAATAAATCTCAAAATAAACAATACCCAAATTTGTAACAAATTAGATGGCAAATTCCTTGGCGTTCTCATCGACCACAAGCTGAATTTCCAGGGACACATTCTAAATATATCAAAAAAAGTTTAAAAAACTGTTGGCATTCTTTCTAAGATCAGATATTATGTACCCCGCCCTGCCCTGGTGACTCTCTATTACTCCCTCATCTATCCATATCTCAACTATGGTACTGGTGCTGGGGGTTCTACTACCCAAAATCATTTACGTCCTCTAATTACTCAACACAAAGCTGCTATTAGAACAATATCCAACTCTAGCCCCAGACATCACTCGGTACCCCTACTCAAATCTCTGAATATGTTAGATATTAAGTCACTGCACATTCTCTCATGTGTATTATACATACATAAAACACTGAACTGTAATGCCAATCCTGACCTCAAAAGATTCATTGAAGGTTGTAACAGAACCCATGAGCACCATACCAGAAATAAATAGTTTTGATATCCCTAGAGTACGACTTAATCAAACTAGAAATGCTCTTCAAATCAAGGGACCCAGAATGTGGAATGACCTTCCCAACCACGTTAAAGACTGTACCTCTCTCAACCAGTTTAAGATAAAAACGAAGCACTACCTAATAAATTCCCTGTAACCTACCTTACCCCTCTGTTGTCAACCCATGTCTGTTTTTTTTTTCAAAACAACGCTGTTTGAATGTAATTGTCTGTAATAATTTGTAATTGTATTTGTGCTGCTTTTTCAGCCATGTTCCCCCCTCTTTTACCTCTATTTTCATTTGTTCTCAACACATTTTATTCATTATACCCATTAGTATTAAGCTTTAGTCATTAATGTTTTTCCTGCCTGAAATGCTTTGCGTAATAGTGGCTTTAGGCATTGTATGTACTAGCTCTATCTATTAATCCAACAAACTTTGTAAAATCTCTTGTATGTATGTACCTTACCTAAATAAACATTTATTTATTTATTTATTTATTTATTTATTAATGGTAGTTCCTGTACCCAGGTGGTCCCTCCCAATGCTCCACTTTTCCCCCGACACGACCCCACCCACACCACCCCCCTCCTACACCATGCGCCTCGAGCCACAGCCGTACGGGATTAATACAGGACACCCACGGCCTGGCTTTCATATCCAGAGAATTCACTCCTTGTCCGGATATTGCAACATCGGCAGCAAGTTGACCGGCCCAGATTTTTTATCCGGACAAACACCTGATTTTCCGGATCCTATGGACATTTTGGCAGGATATTGAGATAACTTTATCCGGTCACGATTTTGGCCGTATAAGGGCGTTTTCCGGATATTCGAGCGGTTACAGTATATCTACATTCGATTTCACCACAGCGTGCCACTAAGCCGGTATGGTAAGTCCAGACAATAAAAGGTGGACAAACACAGTCAGAAGACGACCCCACCACCCTCCCTCAGCATTACTCCTCCCACCATGGAGCACAGCGTTATCACCACAGTCCTGCTATTTTCAGAATCCAGATCAATTTTATCAGTCAAGGGTTTTCTCTAATACTATTATCACTAAATAATAGCAGGTTCATATATATCGTCACTTTTTAGGCGATGCTGTGTTCACAAGCTGAACAGCAGTGCTGTTAGCTCATGCTGCATGCGCCAGCCTTGGTTGCTCACTCAGTACCAAGGCTCTCACACATGGATATGTTACCCACACTTTTTTTTTCAAGATAACGTCTGTTTACTATTGGCCGTGGCTGGACTATAACTGTGCCTATCCCTTACAAGGCATTTAAAATCGTGCGCTAGACCTTAAATCATATATTTATTTAGTGCGCGATTTCGTGACGGTTACTCCTATCGTATATGTATTGCGCAGTTTAAATGTGACATTTTCCCTCGGCCTTCCATCTTTGGCTATGTTGCTTATCAGCCACACACTCAACTTGCAGGCACTTAACAAAACAACCTACTTTTTGTAGGAACTGCATTGTCATACTTAACCGTCATGCACCTCATTGTAGAATGACCCAATTTTCACGATCATTCTGTTTGCTTTCCTATTGTCCCATTAGATCACTTGCCCCTTGATAAAATTCTTAGTGAATCCAATACCTTTGATGTCACTCGCCTTATAACCCTTTGTCCTCGCATTGGCATCCCGAGCGATATTTAGCACCTTTTGCATATCCTGTGATACAATGACAAGTCTTCCCAGCTTAGAGCCTTCTTTTGATAATTACATATAATAATTCATAATTCATTGTGTCGGGAGGGAGGAAGCCAGAGTGTATTAACACATGGTAGACTTCAAGGTCCGCTTCCCCCCTAAGGTTGAATTACTGACTCCGCCCAGGATGCAACCCCATAACAAGCTGACTAACTCCTGAGTACCTACTCACTGCTAGGTGAACAGAGGCATAAGGTGAAAACCATTTCAGTTCTGCCCGGGAATCGAACCCGAAATTCTCGATTGTGCGTCGAGAACAAACCCGACTGTCCTACCAGGATCCTTATATTTACAATACCTTTAAGCTCTACATTGAAAGTACAGTATAAGCAAAGTAGTACTTGCAAACTTGCCAATTACTCATTTAAATTATCCATTATACATTTGATAATGTGTATAGCATCTTGAGGAAATAAACTTTTATTTGTGCATTTAGGGTATAACAAGAGGAAATGTTCAAGATTAACCCATATTACTTTCACCACCATAGTCAATAAGTATTCTGACTCAATCACAAACATTTGTATGTACAAAGACAAGATATGGAATAATCTATTAAAAGTTGTTTTGAGTACACATTGTTCATTAACAAGCACAATCATCAAGTAACACAGAACACACTGTTCATATGTTCAACACAAGTATTATCACCGCACAACACCATGCATACACTATATTCCTGTACACACAAACACCCACCACACAACACCATGCGTACACCATATTCCTGTACACACAAACACCCACCGCACAACACCATGCGTACACTATATTCCTGTACACACAAACACCCACCACACAACACCATGAGTACACTATATTCCTGTACACACAAACACCCACCGCACAACACCATGCGTACACTATATTCCTGTACACACAAACACCCACCACACAACACCATGAGTACACTATATTCCTGTACACACAAACACCCACCGCACAACACCATGCGTACACTATATTCCTGTACACACAAACACCCACCACACAACACCATGAGTACACTATATTCCTGTACACACAAACACCCACCGCACAACACCATGCGTACACTATATTCCTGTACACACAAACACCCACCACACAACACCATGCATACACTATATTCCTGTACACACAAACACCCACCACACAACACCATATTCCTGTACACACAAACACCCACCACACAACTCATTCCTCCCTCCCATGAGCCAATTTACCCAGGCTTGTATCTAGTTTATACCATTTCTATAATCTTATAATTTTAGTTAACTTGTCTTATTCTTCACATGTGCAGTTCTCTTGTCTCTACTAGTTGTCAGTGCCATTCCAATCTTAAATTTGTATCATTTCAGCACATATATGAATGATACCATTACAACACTCACTGTTCAGCTTACAATCACATATTTTTTTTATAAAATGCCTAACCTTATAGTATATAATATTTTTGATATATGCATCACCAATTCATTCAAGCATGTCTACATTCTGGAAAGTTGTTTGAGTATTGAAACTACCAGTACTACTAATTTCTATGGGAACAAAACCAGTGCTTGCATCCTTTCTGGCATCTGATAGTAGCTGAGAGCTTTCCTGGACCCTTGTAGACTCCAGAGGTGGATGTAAACTAAGACGAGAATTATCTTCAACAATTTCAAATTTACTTCCCCTTGCATTTAAATTTTGGTCATGTCTTGGTGCATTAATGCCTTTAGGATAGGAAGCGTCATGACTTATTAAGCTATCGTGTGGATCATTAATAGAACTAACTGAAAGAATGGGAGTTGGATTTAAATTTTGGTCATGTCTTGGTGCATTAATGCCTTTAAGAAAGGAAGCTTCATGACTTATTAAGCTATCGTGTGGATCATTAATGGAACTAAATGAAAGTAAGGGAGTTTCTTCTATGGTCACATATGGTTTTGGATCTAGGTCACTAACTATAAGATCCAAATTAGTAAGTCTCTCTTTCTTGGAATTCCCCAAAAAATTAGTTTTTTCAGATACTTTATCACTTGGCTCAAGAATTCTGCTTCTTGTTGGGGATTTTATTTCTTCAGTGTGTAACTTTTGGGTTTCCAAAGGTACTTGTCCAGGTTTGAATCTATTCAAGGAAACAGCAGCAGAATTCAGTACCATGGATGGTACTGTACACTCTTTAATAGTGAACCTATTTTGAAGTAAGAAAGTGTTAGGAAGATTTGTGGCTTCCCCTTGAACTTTAGCATTCATGTCCTGTACAATCTGCTTTTGTTGCTTGGGTAAGACCTCAGACGAACCTGTGCCAGAGTCTTGCTCCTTCATTCTGTCAGAGTGAGGAGAATTCATCTTGGAAGTTAAATGAGAGAGAGATTTTTCCTCGTAAGCAGAATCGGCATCACTATCAGAACTCTCTAATGGGGTAACTTTGTGTGACAAATTATCAGATGGTAACTTCACTTGGTTACCTATGATGTCTAAATTTGGTGCTGAACTGGAAAGTTTGGAAGCAGAGAGCCCTGACAAAGACTGTTTCTGCAAGTCCAGCAAATAGTGAGCTTTTGTTAACTGGATCTCCAAGTTCCTGTAAACAAATAACATATTGTTACATTATAGTAGTGGCTCTTAAGAATAGAAGGCAATTTTCCTAACAATGAACCTTTAACACTAAGGTATAGATGGCTGGTAACAATATTCAGGCATTAGACTCAACCATATTTTATATTTATTATATATATATATATATATATATATATATATATATATATATATATATATGGGTTCGTGATGGTCAAGCGGATTAAGGCGTCCCTGTACATACCAGTTGCGTTGCTCCTGGCAGTATGGGTTCGAGTCACTTCTGGGGTGTGAGTTTTCAGTTGTATATAGTCCTGGGGACCATTCAGGCTTGTTTGCATTTGTGTTCCTCACGTGTGCCCCAAAGAATGAGGTGATTTGATAAAATGCTATGCCCAAGATTACCATCCGAGTGCCGGCGGGGAAGTGGTTCAAATAGCTTCGGCTATCACTTCCTTATGTCCGGTCGTGATGGTCAAGCGGATTAAGGCGTCCCTGTACATACCAGTTGCGGTGCTCCTGGCAGTATGGGTTCGAGTCACTTCTGGGGTGTTTTCAGTTGTATATAGTCCTGGGGACCATTCAGGCTTGTTTGCATTTGTGTTCCTCACGTGTGCCCCAAAGAATGAGGTGATTTGATAAAATGCTATGCCCAAGATTACCATCCGAGTGCCGGCGGGGAAGTGGTTCAAATAGCTTCGGCTATCACTTCCTTATGTCCGGTCGTGATGGTCAAGCGCATTAAGGCGTCCCTGTACATACCAGTTGCGTTGCTCCTGGCAGTATGGGTTCAAGTCACTTCTGGGGTGTGAGTTTTCAGTTGTATATAGTCCTGGGGACCATTCAGGCTTGTTTGCATTTGTGTTCCTCACGTGTGCCCCAAAGAATGAGGTGATTTGATAAAATGCTATGCCCAAGATTACCATCCGAGTGCCGGCGGGGAAGTGGTTCAAATAGCTTCGGCTATCACTTCCTTATGTCCGGTCGTGATGGTCAAGCGCATTAAGGCGTCCCTGTACATACCAGTTGCGTTGCTCCTGGCAGTATGGGTTCGAGTCACTTCTGGGGTGTGAGTTTTCAGTTGTATATAGTCCTGGGGACCATTCAGGCTTGTTTGCATTTGTGTTCCTCACGTGTGCCCCAAAGAATGAGGTGATTTGATAAAATGCTATGCCCAAGATTACCATCCGAGTGCCGGCGGGGAAGTGGTTCAAATAGCTTCGGCTATCACTTCCTTATGTCCGGTCGTGATGGTCAAGCGGATTAAGGCGTCCCTGTACATACCAGTTGCGTTGCTCCTGGCAGTATGGGTTCAAGTCACTTCTGGGGTGTGAGTTTTCAGTTGTATATAGTCCTGGGGACCATTCAGGCTTGTTTGCATATATATATATTATATATATATATATATATATATATATATATATATATATATATATATATATATATATATATATATATATATATAATTTTATTTATTTTGTGACAATCTCTTTCAAGAGAGATTGAGCCTGCTCTTCCCTACTTAAAGTTATGTCAAGTTAACAAGTATAAGATGCTACATTCAAGATACGTCACCGGTAGCACAAAACGTTTTGACCAGGAGGCAAAACGTACCCAAGATCCCCCCTACTCCACACACCCTCCATGCCGGCTCGTCGTCAACCAGCAAACTACCCATCCCAGCCTGCCTGCTCCTGATTGGTGACTCGCCGACCGCGCACCTGCACATTGCACCTCGGCGCCATCTATATGAGTCGACATCTGAGCCTGACCAGCCATCAACTTCCGAATATTCTTTGTGCTCTTAGAGTTGACATCTCTCTCTGGCATACTAAGCTCTCTGGCTTTCGTATACTAAGGGAGGTCTCAGCTAAAGCCAATATTCTCAGCACCATTTCTCCATCATAATATTTAATCTATTGTGTTTTTGCATTTATCTTTGTCATTTTATTACACCAGTCATTTACCCGAGATTTGTCTTTATTTTCATTTATGTTTAAAGTAAATATATTAAAGTTTCATTGTTCATACTTTGTGTTTTATGTGTTCCTCCCTCTAACTTACCACAGACAACAGGCAAGCAGTCTATCTTTTTTTTGTAAGTGTGACCAGGCATTGACACCTGCCATTGGAGGACTGCCGAACATCTATACTCCAACACTTTCCCGTCACAATATAAATATAAATATAAATATAAATATATATATATATATATATATATATATATATATATATATATATATATATATAAATATATTATTATCTCCATTATTATCGGCTTCTCCAATGGTTTCGTCGAAGACATCATAAGAAGGAAAGTGAAAAGCCATGCAACCTCTGAAGAGACGACTAACACAACACCTATACCCCCTATTAGACTATTTTACAGGAACTTCTTTTCCACAGCTCATAAAACGGAGGAAAGGGTCCTGAAAGATATTGTTAATAGAAACGTTATCCCTACAGACAAAAATCAGAGGATACAACTGACAATTTACTATAAAACCAGAAAAACGGCCAGCTTACTCATGAGAAACTCTCCAGACAAAAAACAGAACGCTTTAAAAGAGACTAACGTCGTCTATGCCTTCAAATGCCCTCTTGGGGACTGTAAGCTCCAAAAAACCCAGTATATAGGCAAGACAACAACATCTCTTTCTAGGCGTTTAACGATGCATAAGCAACAGGGCTCCATTAAGGAACATATAATCTCTTCCCACAACCAAACCATCGCCAGAGAAATCCTAGTAAACAACACAGAAATCATCGATAGATACAGCGATACCAGGCGGCTTGACGTTTGCGAGACACTACACATCAAGAAGTCAACACCAGCAATCAACAGCCAATTATTGCACAACTATATTCTACCCACCTCAAGACTCCGCTCCAATATAGAAGCATCAACAAATATGGACCAATAGGCTTTCTACAAACACTTCTATTCAATATCCATTGTTTCGTGTTCTGTCTTGTGTTGATGAAATTAATACCCTATTAATACTCTTGTTCTGTCTTGTGTTGATGAAATTAATACCCTATTAATGCCACATCTTGTTCTGTCTTGTGTTAATGCCACTTCACCCCTTCCACCTCACTCAAATGTAGATATAAGATCGGAGATGCGTAAGTTCTATTCAGTTGTGTATTTGTGAACTAAAGTCTTTGAAAATGTAATAAGTTTTACGAAACGCGCTCGTGTCGCGTCAGACTAGAAAAAAAATGAATTTTGGAGAATTGATTTTTGATTTATTTTGATTTATATATATATATATATATATATATATATATATATATATATATATATATATATATATATATATATATAAGTATATTTTGGTAGCAGTCTTTCCTGTAGACATATATTATTAAATATGACCGAAAAAGTAAGATTAATAATTCTAACACGAATTTTCTCAATCTTTCGTACATTACGCTTCACTGTTGGAGGTAAATCAAAAATTAATTCTCCAAAATTCATTTTTATTTCTAGTCTGACGCGACACGGGCGCGTTTCGTAAAACTTATTACATTTTCAAAGACTTTAGTTCACAAATACACAACTGAATAGAACTTACGTATCTCCGATTTTATATCTACATTTGAGTGAGGTGGGAGGGGTGATGTGGCATTAACACAAGACAAAACAAGAGGGGATATTAATAGGGTATTAAAAGTATCAACACAAGACAGAACACAAACAATGGGTATTGAATAGAAGTGTTTGTAGAAAGCCTATTGGTCCATATTTCTTGATGCTTCTATATTGGAGCGGAGTCTTGAGGTGGGTAGAATATAGTTGTGCAATAATTGGCTGTTGATTGCTGGTGTTGACTTCTTGATGTGTAGTGCCTCGCAAACGTCAAGCCGCCTGCTATCGCTGTATCTATCGATGATTTCTGTGTTGTTTACTAGGATTTCTCTGGCAATGGTTTGGTTGTGGGAAGAGATTATATGTTCCTTAATGGAGCCCTGTTGCTTATGCATCGTTAAACGCCTAGAAAGAGATGTTGTTGTCTTGCCTATATACTGGGTTTTTTGGAGCTTACAGTCCCCAAGTGGGCATTTGAAGGCATAGACAACGTTACTCTCTTTTAAAGCGTTCTGTTTTGTGTCTGGAGAGTTTCTCATGAGTAGGCTGGCCGTTTTTCTGGTTTTATAGTAAATCGTCAGTTGTATCCTCTGATTTTTGTCTGTAGGGATAACGTTTCTATTAACAATATCTTTCAGGACCCTTTCCTCCGTTTTATGAGCTGTGGAAAAGAAGTTCCTGTAAAATAGTCTAATAGGAAGTGTAAAATAGTCTAATTTAAGAAGTGAAAAGCCATGCAACTTCTGAAGAGACAACTAACACAACACCTATACCCCCTATTAGACTATTTTACAGGAACTTCTTTTCCACAGCTCATAAAACGGAGGAAAGGGTCCTGAAAGATATTGTTAATAGAAACGTTATCCCTACAGACAAAAATCAGAGGATACAACTGACGATTTACTATAAAACCAGAAAAACGGCCAGCCTACTCATGAGAAACTCTCCAGACACAAAACAGAACGCTTTAAAAGAGACTAACGTTGTCTATGCCTTCAAATGCCCACTTGGGGACTGTAAGCTCCAAAAAACCCAGTATATAGGCAAGACAACAACATCTCTTTCTAGGCGTTTAACGATGCATAAGCAACAGGGCTCCATTAAGGAACATATAATCTCTTCCCACAACCAAACCATCGCCAGAGAAATCCTAGTAAACAACACAGAAATCATCGATAGATACAGCGATAGCAGGCGGCTTGACATTTGCGAGGCACTACACATCAAGAAGTCAACACCAGCAATCAACAGCCAATTATTGCACAACTATATTCTACCCACCTCAAGACTCCGCTCCAATATAGAAGCATCAAGAAATATGGACCAATAGGCTTTCTACAAACACTTCTATTCAATACCCATTGTTTGTGTTCTGTCTTGTGTTGATACTTTTAATACCCTATTAATATCCCCTCTTATTTTGTCTTGTGTTAATGCCACATCACCCCTCCCACCTCACTCAAATGTAGATATAAAATCGGAGATACGTAAGTTCTATTCAGTTGTGTATTTGTGAACTAAAGTCTTTGAAAATGTAATAAGTTTTACGAAATGCGCCCGTGTCGCGTCAGACTAGAAATAAAAATGAATTTTGGAGAATTAATTTTTGATTTACCTCCAACAGTGAAGCGTAATGTACGAAAGATTGAGAAAATTCGTGTTAGAATTATTAATCTTACTTTTTCGGTCATATTTAATAATATATATATGTATGTATGTATGTATATATATATATATATATATATATATATATATATATATATATATATATATATATATATATATATATATATACACATATACATGTATATATGTATATATGTATATTGGTGTATACTGGCAGTAGGTTTTCTTTCAAACATGTTTCATTGAATATGACCGCATATTCTGTATTTATTATTTTCTGGTTTAGGGCTTCTATCCCTCTAACTATTTTCTTAGCATCAGGGCTTAATTGAAATAGGAGTTCTCCAAAACTCATTTTCGTACTTTTAAGGTGAAGAAAAGAAGTGATTTACTATAGAGTGTATTACACTTATTTGTATAATTTGCACGACGTTTCGAACCTTCATGGTTCATTCTCAAGTGAACAGATCTTACAATACTAGTTGATTTTATACCCGCATTAGGTCAGGTGATAATACAGTGAAGGTGAAAACATGGGGGGGATACATAAGGGATAAACATAGGGGCTGCAGAAGGCTTATTGGCCCATACGAGGCATCTCCTATCTAAACACAAAGATTAATCCAGTGTAATTGGCCTGTTATGTTGGACATTGTCTTCTATGTTGGCATCGATATGTTCTTGTCTTGTCCTTACTAGTAAATAGTAAATATATATATATATATATATATATATATATATATATATATATATATATATATATATATATATATATATATATATATATATATATATATATATATATATATATATATATATATATTACACTTATTTATACAATTTGCACAACGTTTCGAACCTCCATGGTTTATTCTCAAGTGAAAAGAATTTTCAGGACTAGTTGATTTTGCTGAATCAATGCTGAATTCCCATCAATAAGTCGTGAAGCCTCCACTAACAATATAAAATATGATTGAAAGGCATATAAATTAGTGTAAAAAGTGTTGATAGAGTATAGTATTGTAAGTGTTGATGATTATTTAAGCTTTGACAAACAGATACTGTACAGTGTAAATATACAGTAGAAATAATTTTCAATTGTAAATTAGAATTAGAACTCGTGTGAATTAGTAGTAAGCCTAGCTGTTATGTGAAGTGAATGCCTGAAAGTAAGTGTTCATACTGTATGTACCCTGTATACAGTACTGAACAATATAAAACAAGCGCTGCAGAGGATGACGTAATCTTCACAGCTTCGTAATCTTCAGCTTCATTAAAAGTAAGTCAATTTACCAATTTTATTATAGGTTTCCACTCAATTTAACGGCCTCTTTCTTACCGATCTGCTGGTAATAACGACCAGTTTGAGAGACTGGTATATGGACCCTCATATACCGGTCTGGCGGTCGATATTACCAAAGGTTGGTATTGAGTTTGTTTTGGCATCGGCGGCCCTCTCACATGGCAACAAGCCACCGACCTCCAAGGCATTGAGGGAGGGATGGGAGGCAGATTGATGGAGGGAGACATTGAGGGGGAGAGGCAGGGAGAGGGGCGGTGTTGAGGGAGGCAGGGAGAGGGGCGGTGTTGAGGGAGGCAGGGAGAGGGGCGGTGTTGAGGGAGGCAGGGAGAGGGGCGGTGTTGAGGGAGGCAGGGAGAGGGGCGGTGTTGAGGGAGGCAGGGAGAGGGGCGGTGTTGAGGGAGGCAGGGAGAGGGGCGGTGTTGAGGGAGGCAGGGAGAGGGGCGGTGTTGAGGGAGGCAGGGAGAGGGGCGGTGTTGAGGGAGGCAGGGAGAGGGGCGGTGTTGAGGGAGGCAGGGAGAGGGGCGGTGTTGAGGGAGGCAGGGAGAGGGGCGGTGTTGAGGGAGGCAGGGAGAGGGGCGGTGTTGAGGGAGGCAGGGAGAGGGGCGGTGTTGAGGGAGGCAGGGAGAGGGGCGGTGTTGAGGGAGGCAGGGAGAGGGGTGGTGTTGAGGGAGGCAGGGAGAGGGGTGGTGTTGAGGGAGGCAGGGAGAGGGGTGGTGTTGAGGGAGGCAGGGAGAGGGGTGGTGTTGAGGGAGGCAGGGAGAGGGGTGGTGTTGAGGGAGGCAGGGAGAGGGGTGGTGTTGAGGGAGGCAGGGAGAGGGGTGGTGTTGAGGGAGGCAGGGAGAGGGGTGGTGTTGAGGGAGGCAGGGAGAGTGGTCGTGTTGAGGGAGGCAGGGAGAGTGGTCGTGTTGAGGGAGGCAGGGAGAGTGGTGGTGTTGAGGGAGGTAGGGGTTGGGCAACTCCCTGTGTACAGGAGTTGTAGCTGATGTGTGTGGAAAAAGGCTAACATAGTTCCAATCTACAAAAGTGGAAGCAGGGAAGACCGCCCTTAATTATAGACCGGTATCATTGACAAGTGTAATAGTCAAAATATTGGAAAAAATAATTAAAACTAAATGGGTAGAACACCTGGAGGAAAACGATATAATATCAGACAGACAGTATGGTTTTCGATCTGGAAGATCCTGTGTAACGAACTTATTCAGTTTTTATGATCGAGCCACAGAGATTTTACAGGAAAGAGATGGTTGGGTTGACTGCATCTATCTGGACCTAAAAAAAGGCTTTCGACAGAGTTCCCCATAAGAGGTTGGAGGGGTGACAGGTAAGCTACTAACATGGATGAAAAATTTCCTAACTGACAGAAAAATGAGGGCCATAATCAGAGGCAAGGTATCGGATTGGAGGAATGTCACGAGTGGAGTACCACAGGATCAGTTCTTGCACCGGTAATGTTCATTGTCTACATAAACGATCTACCAGTGGGAATACAGAATTACATGAACATGTTTGCTGATGATGCTAAGATAATACAGAAGATAAGAAACCTATATGATTGTCATGCCCTTCAAAATGACCTGGACAAAATAAGTATATAGAGCACCACTTGGCAAATGGAATTTAATGTTAATAAATGCCATGTTATGGAATGTGGAATAGGAGAACATAGACCCCACACAACCTATATATTATGTGAGAAATCTTTAAAGAATTCTGATAAAGAAAGAGATCTAGGGGTGGTTCTAGATAGAAAACTATCACCTGAGGACCACATAAAGAATATTGCGAGAGGAGCTTATGCCACGCTTTCTAACTTCAGAATTGCTTTTAAATACATGGATGGCAATATACTAAAGAAATTGTTCACGACTTTTGTTAAGCCAAAGCTAGAATATGCAGCGGTTGTGTGGTGCCCATATCTTAAGAAGCACATCAACAAACTGGAAAAGGTGCAAAGACATGCTACTAAGTGGCTCCCAGAACTGAAGGGCAAGAGCTACGAGGAGAGGTTAGAGACATTAAATATGCCAAAACTGGTAGACAGAAGAAAAAAAAGAGGTGATATGATCACTAAATACAAAATAGTAACAGGAATTGATAAAATCGATAGGGAAGATTTCCTGAGACCTGGAACTTTAAGAACAAGAGGTCATAGATATAAACTAGCTAAACACAGATGCCGAAGAAATATAAGAAAATTCACTTTCGCAAACAGAGTGGTAGATGGTTGGAACAAGTTAGGTGAGAAGGTGGTGGAGGCCAAGACCGTCAGTAGTTTCAAAGCGTTATATGACAAAGAGTGCTGGGAAGACGGGACACCACGAGCGTAGCTCTCATCCTGTAACTACACTTAGGTAATTACACACACACACACACATACATATATCTCTTCTTCAAACAATAAAATCTGAATTTCCCCTTCAGTCATCTTTCAACAACCCCGACAGGAAACTGGAAGCACATTTGCCAGCCATAGTTGCTCACTCAGAACTTAGCCTACCCGCAGCCCTTAGCCATGGTGTTAAATTTTTTCAAGATGGCTGCTGCTCACTGTAGGTCCCGGACATACAACTCGTACCCAACCTACCGCACACACACCTTTTGAACCTTACGAGATCCTAACATCGCTTACATGTCAGGTGGCGCACCGCCATATTCCGTGTTTTGCAGGGTGATGCAGTTCAGTAGTTATTATAAGCTTCAATAATTTTTGGTAACATCACGTCTACACTCACCTGCCCACCTGCCAGTCAGCCACCAATCTGTCCACCCCCACAAAACTGTCACTCTACCTCCCACTTGCCAGCCCACCCACTCACCTGCCACCATGTCCGCCAGCTCACCACCACTTCCACCTGTCCTCCCACACTGCCCGCCTGCCTACCAGCCAGTTATCCACCCAGTCCACCCGCTTGCAACCTACACGATAGCCAGCCAGCCATCCATCTTGTTGCCCTCCCAAATATGACTAAAATGTTACTGACATTTTAATACTTCTGGATTTAGCTGAGCCCCAGATTTAACGGCCTGGATACAGCCTCATATAGGTCATTAAATTGAGTGGATACTCTAATTACCTGCTTACTATAGAAAATCAGAAATTAGGCAGAGATAAACTAATAAAAGCTCTCAATGAGGAAGGATACAATATATATTATATATATATATATATATTATATATATATATTATATATATATTTATATATATTATATATATACAGTATATATATATACACACACACACACACACATACATACATATACACACACACATATACACACACGTGAAGTAACACACTTACAAGACCAACTCACGGTGACTTCTGACTTCCCGCAATAAGGCTGCATTTTCAGTCTGTAGTCGTAATACTTCAGACCGAGAATTTTGCTCATCCTGTTCCTTGTTACTACTACCTTCCTCTTCTCTGGGATATAAACTTTTCACAGTAATAGACTCCAATGATTTATCATGGCTATCTATGCCAACACCACTATCGCCATCTCTTGCGTGCGCTTGGGCATCTACGCGAGAATCGGAGATCATGTTTTCAACTTCTTTAACTTGCTGCAGGTTTCTTTTAGCTATCTGAAAAACCTTTTATCACTTAATATATGCAAGGTGCTTAACTTTGTGATAAAATTAAAATTAACAAGAAAAGCATCACTTTTAATAACACTTTACTTTCTGTTTATTTAGATGTTTATTGAAGCAAAGCATAGACAATGTCTTACATTTCACCTTTGTAAATGCACATTAATGACACTTCGAACACTTTATGTAGGGCATACGTAAATTTGTGTATCTATGTATTTACGTATGTAGGTTAGCTTAGCATTTTAAAAGCCCCAAATCACCTTCTGTGGTTGATTGTTCAATAAACCCTTGAACTATATGTTTAACACATCTCTAACCCTGTCCATGGAGAACAGAAGAAAATGTATATATGCTGGTTAGCATTGTAAATGTGTGGCCACGTCTGTGGTAGAAAATAATAATAATAAAAAAAAAATATGGGCTCAGTCACTCGCATATCAAAGAGAAAAGGAATGGAAAGGGACATGACAAAATAAAGGAAGAAGAAAAGATATGCAAATGTGGAACGGAGCTGGAGAAACTGCTGAAATTTACACAAAAATGTGAGGACAATGATAAGAAAACTGTTGTGTAACAACAGTTCTGAAAGCAATTAAGAACTAAGCATTTGGCAGAATAAACAAAGAAAATTAATTAGAGGAAGTTGAAAGTAATCAACCTATCTCCTGTTTAGACAAGACTTTTTTTTTTTTTTTTTTTTTGAGATATATACAAGAGTTGTTACATTCTTGTACAGCCACTAGTACGCGTAGCGTTTCGGGCAAGTCCTTAATCCTATGGTCCCTGGAATACGATCCCCTGCCGCGAAGAATCGTTTTTTCATCCAAGTACACATTTTACTGTTGAGTTAAACAGAGGCTACAGTTAAGGAATTGCGCCCAGTAAATCCTCCCTGGCCAGGATACGAACCCGTGACATAGCGCTCGCGGAACGCCAGGCGAGTGTCTTACCACTACACCACGGAGACTGTTAATTACGGATTACTTGTAGTAACTATGTGTACTACAGTACAAATATTGACATACTAAGCAATTAGATAGTAGAATTTGGTACTATTCACATTATAGAGGCCCCCCCCCCCCAAAAATGAAGCTAAACACAAACTTAAGGGGCCAGGAAATGAAAAAATATTTGAATTATATGGAAATTACTTGAAAATGTCAAACAAATCTCCAATTGACATCAGCGTCATGAAAGTTTCATCCCAATATACAGTACTGAAAATTAAATTTATACGAATCTAAAAAAAGTTTTGTGGATAAGGAGAAGAGGTTGTATTAAGTGGAACTAGGGGATAATGCAGTAATAAAGAGATGCAAGCACCTGTCCAGAGCACAAAGAAGAAGAAGAAGAATAGTAGTAAGGAGGGTCAACAAGTGTATATGCAGCTGGTGCCTTTATACCACTGCTCAGTAACACATAATAACAAATAATAAAGACGAAGTATGCTATTATGCTGTAGTTTGATATATATCATATAAATACATTGCCCAATACCAATATTTGTTACTTCTATCAATGTAAAAAAAAAATTGGGAGGGGGGGATTTTTTTTTTTGGGGGGGGGGGATTTTTGGGGGGAAGGGGGATTTTTTTGAGGGGAAGGGTTTTTTTTTTAGATTTTTATTTGTTTTTCCTTTCATTATAATCTGTCTTTGTTATAGCTTCTACAACTTGGAGAATGCATACTCACCATTAACTGTGTGAAGTTAGAACGAAATTGGTCAACAAACAAATCGGCCACAGGCGGCAGAACTTGTAACTTAATTTTTGGGGGCAGATTTTTTCACAGATTTCAAACTATTTTCTTTCTCTTTAGATTATTTTGATGATCAGGGACCAGATTAGGGCTTTAACACTTATATAAAGTATACACATATAGCCCCCCTAAATCATTACAATTATCCCTAATTTTTGCTTTTTGAGGGATAATTTTTTCTTTACAGTACTGTACTTCATTTCAACTCATATTGACCTACAACTTTCACATATTCGAGAATGAATGCCAAGAAACGTTTATTAAGATATACTAGTAAATTAATGATTTAAAACTACCTTATTCATTGTCAATAATTTCAACTTCAATTATCTCTAAAACTAGAATTACAACAGAGTCAGCTTCAAAAAACCAGCATTGAATGTATGAAAGCCATTTTCTGGATGAGCTCCTGAGGCACCCCAGAGCTATCCAGGCTGATATGTAACTACCCAAACGAAAATTAGCAAACAAGCATGACTCATCATGTCGCCAGGCTGCTTTCTGCGCAACCCCCTCCTTCCCCGGAAGGGGGAGCCCTAGACCCTCGTACCGATCACACCAGCTGTTCTTAGACGATGTCAAAAACATGCGAAAACACCGCCGACTGGAGGAAGGAAGGGAGGGAGGGAGGGAGGGTGCCAGGAAACCTCCTGGTCACACCCAAAAAATAGCAATTCATTAAATTCAATGCTGGTTTTCTAGGGGAGCTCTGCCGGCTCCCCGAGCCCGGAGCTACCTCACCACAGATAAGGAGGAAGAGGAAAGCACCCGGGAGGCGATGCTACGCACTCAAAATTCAAAATCAAGACAACTGGCAAAACTGAAGGACCCTGTGGACAACCCAGGAGACCCAAACCCCGGAACAGGAATGAAGGGAAACCGGGACAACCAAAAGCGCGAGCTCTTGAAGATGTCCACGGTTGTTCCGGCAATATTTCTTATAGTCGCTGGGAGGACGTTGAACAACCGCGGACCTCTGATGTTTATACGCTATGCTAATGTCAGACTTTAGGATCAGTCATGTGTATGGAGTTCTACGGGCCTACTGGGGACCACGAGCCAGAACCTGGCCCCCCTCAGAAGAGGCAAGGAGAACAATGGCCTATAGAAACCCCCGAGTGATTAGGAGTCAGGTCACCAATTTCATGGAGACCAATGACCTTCACAACCCAGGCCAACATGGATTTCGAGCGGGAAGATAGTGCCTCTCACAGCTACTTGAGCACTACGATAAAGTCACTGAGGCATTAGAGGAATAACAGAATGCTGATGTGATATACACAGACTTCGCAAAGGCTTTCAATAAATGTGACCATGGCGTGATAGCACACAACATGAAGTCAATGGGAATAACCGGTAAAGTAGGACGCTGGATACTCGGTTTTCTGTCAAACAGGACTCAGCGAGTAACGGTCAACCATATAAAATCTAGTCCAAGTGCAGTTAAAAGTTCTGTACCTCAGGGTACAGTCCTTGCACCGCTGCTTTTTCTTATTCTCACATCAGATATAGACAAAAATACAGCTTCGTATCATCCTTTGCAGATGACACAAAAATCAGTATGAAAATTACCTCTGCTGAAGACATTGAAAAACTTCAAGCTGATAATAATAAAGTTTTAAACTGGGCATCAGAAAATAACATGATGTTTAACAGTGATAAATTCCAGGTACTCAGATACGGTAAAAATGAGAACCTTAAACATAATACAGGGTATAAAACACAATCAAATGTACCCATAGTAGGAAAACAGCATGTAAAGGATTTGGGAATAATGATGTCTGACAACCTAACGTTTAGGGAGCATAACCAAGCAAATATTGCGACAGCCAGAAAAATGATAGGATGGATTACGAGAACTTTCAAATCCAGGGATCCCATCACAATGGTTGTACTCTTCAAGTCACTTGTGTTGTCCCGTCTTGAGTACTGCTCAGTACTCACTTCCCCCTTCAGAGCAGGAGAGATTGCTGAAATAGAGGGAATACAGAGAACATATACGGCACGCATAGACGCGATAAAGCACCTAAATTATTGGGATCGTCTCAAAGCCCTCCAAATGTACTCACTAGAAAGAAGACGAGTGAGATATCAAATAATATACACCTGGAAGATACTGGAGGGCCAAGTACCAAATCTACACAGTAAAATAACAACGTACTGGAGTGAACAATATGGAAGAAAATGCAGAATAGAACCAGTGAAGAGCAGAGGTGCCATAGGCACAATCAGAGAGCACTGCATAAACATCAGAGGTCCATGGTTGTTCAACACCCTCCCAGCAAGCATAAGAAATATTGCTGGAACAACCGTGTGTGGGCCTGTGGGCCGCTCCAAGCAACAGCCTGGTGGACCAAACTCTCATAAGTCAAGCCTGGCCTCGGGCTGGACTTGGGGAGTAGAAGAACTCCCAGAACCCCATCAACCAGGTATCAACCAGGTGTGGTTGGAAGCATTCTATGTTTACCATCGTCCGGGTCAGGCACCCAGAAAGGTACGCGTCCCTAAAACAAACCCCAATTCTGGTGAAAATTGCTACTACAAACTGAACAAGTGGATAGAACTTCCCTAAAAGAAACAAGCAAACGATCATGATGTCACACGTCGCCGCGCCGCTGTTTGCGCACCTCCCTCCTCCCCAGGAGCCCCAGACCCACCGCGCCGGCTATCCACCACCAGCTCTAAGGCTGATGCTAGAGGCTGAGGTCGTGTGTTCTGGCTCTGGTGGTTGTTTCAGCACTGTACCTAGAGTGTGGTGTCTGTCTTCTAGGTGATGCGTGAACCGGGAGTTATTCTCCAGTACTCGGGCTGCATGCGCCTAGGGTTTCCTTCCCTAGGTGCCCTGTAAGTACTGCCCTTGGGGCTTGGGATTCCCTTCCACAAGTTCCTTGGATTCTGCCCCCTGCTAGGCTGTTTACTGCTTGGTTTTTGGTCGCCCTTTGTGTGCTAGGGTGTTCTGTCTCCCTTGTTCGCCTTGGGGTAGGGGGCAGTTTGCACTGGTAAGGGCGTAGGGATACTGCGCAAGTTGTTTTCACCAATCATAGGGGCCGGCTCTGTTCCGCCTGGGTACGCTGTCCTCTTGCGGGGTTTTCTTTTTCATTTTGTTTGTCTGCTTGGTGGGGGGAGGTCTGACTTGGTTCTTGCCCCCATGTGTACTGAGTACTCTTCCTTCTTCCAGTGGTTCCCCCTGTTAGGTCCCCAGGAGTGTACACGTCCCGGGGGTTCAGTTCTTAGAAGGTTGTTTGGTAGACTTGGGTGGCGGTTACCAGTACCATGCCTGGGATCATCTTGGCGTGAGTCACTATTGGTAAACACTCGGGACCCTGGGAATCCCCACTGGGATGCTCGGGTCCAATGGATGTGACCGCGGAGTCCCCCCTCACTTTGTGCGAGTTCGAGGGTTGCTCTGTCCCCTTGTCTCAGGGTAACTCACTGTTTTGCCTCCGTCTGCTGCCTGTGGGGTCGGCGGAACCTTCGCAGGGCTGCAAAGCCCTGAGAGTTTTGTTGCTTGTTTGTGACTTGATTACCCAGTCTTATGCTGACTATGCGGGTACAGGCAGCACGGGCGTTGCACGTCGCGTTTCAGTGGTGGCAACGTGCTAGGTTTGCTACCTGGAAGCCCCGAGGCTGCCCTATTTAGGTTGGTGTGACAGGGCTTGGGGGGTGTCGGTCGCTTTGGTTTTGTTTCCATCCGCGCCCCTTGTCTTTTCCCTGTTGTGGTCTAGTCTGGTCCTCCCCCTCCTTCCTCCCTGCATCCGGATCCTTACCGTTTGTGAGTTCGGGGTTGGGGTGGGGCTTTGGTGGTCTTGAGACTCGGGCGGTCTTGGCATTTCCCCTTCTGGAAAGGCGACGGAGGCATTCGAGCTTGTCCCTCTGGTCGTGTTGTACAAGTCTGCCAGTGGGCTCCTTTCCTTAGTATTTTTCCGGCTGCCCTGGCTTTTTCTTGTGAGGCTGGGGCTTTGGGGGGGACCGCTCGACCCTGGGGCCTGCCGTGTGGATTCCCGGGGCTGGAGAGGGGCTGACTTGGGGTTTCAGGCCCCTTTGGACCCCGCCGGAGTTTTCTACCCTTTGAGCGGAGCTTGCAGTTCCGGGGTGTTGGGTTCTTCTTCCCCCTCTCCATACAAATTGTTGGGTGTCGGCCCCTCCCCGTGTTCGGTTCCTTGTCCCTTGGGTCCGTTGTTCCGTCCTGGCAGTGGGTTCTCTTCTCCATTTTTTCACTCTTCTACCTTGGGACGGGGACTTTTCCGTCATGTTCCCTTCTTCTCGGGGTTCTACATGACTTTAGGTCTCGGGTGCGACTGTGCTTTTCTGTGCCTTCGTGCTTAGTGCTTGCTTCTGTGTGTTCTCGAAGGTTCGAGAAGGTTCGCTTCTCCCCGTATTATTGGAACGTCTGTCGTCTTCCGGTCGGGCTTCTCTCCAGTCCTTTCTCGGGCTTGTTGGTCCTCTTCTGTGCTTCTCTGTTTTTGGTCCTGTCTCGTTCCTTTTGTTATTCTCTTCTTCTGTGCTCTGTCTCGGCACTGATCGTTTTCTTTTCATTCTCCTAGTTGGCGCCTTCGGACCTCGTGTCCTGCACATGTGCTGTGGAAGTTTGTTTTGGTCTGGGCGGTGTGCACAAGTGCTGGTGTACTGTGTCCTTTTCTCACGAAGCTCCAGGGAGCCTTTTCGGCTCCCTGGAGCTTCAGGAGCCAAAGGGGCTTTTCCCAGAAAACAAAAAAAATTAGAGTCCTAGAAAAGCAATCCAGAACCGAAGGGGCCACGACAAACTGAGGAGAAGAGAGAAAAGAGAGCACCCTGACCAGGACGGCTCAGGTGATATACGAGCAGGCCAGAGGCAAAACAACCCAAGAGACAGTGTACGGAATGGAGCAGAAGTAACATTAATACCGAACGCAAATTGCAGGGGCTCCGCCAGCATTGCACGATTCGAGGCAACAGGATTCAGCATAAGATGACAGTCCTGGAACAACCATGAAAGGAAGGACAAAACAACCCTATCAGAGACCGAAGTACACCTACGCAGCGATAGGAAAAACGAGAAGGACCCCCAAGAAACTTCATACTGCCGCCGAGATGAAGCATGCAGGTGGGAGACCAACAATGAAGCCACCCGTGCCCCATACAAAGGATGAGAGACCCAAGTCAAACTCCAGACGAGAAGACTTGAGGAGAAGAACGAACCAGCCTCGTACCGGACTGTACCGATCTGTTGAAAGAGGCGGAGCCGCGGGAAGACCCTCGGGTTCGTACACCAAGCAAGCAACACCTGAAACCAAGGCTGGGCCGGCCACCAAGGACCCAGAAGGACAACTCTCCCCTGGTAAGTCTCCAAGTGAGCCAGAACCTGGAGCAACAGTTGAACTGGGGGAAAGCGGTACAGATAACCCCACCTCACCCAGTCCTGCCTGAAAGCGTCGACCCTGATGGCCTCGTAGTCGGGGAAGGGTGTCGTGTATACCAGGAGATGCCTCGACCACGTCGACTTGAAAAGATCCACTTCCGGAGGCCTGAATGTGTGGCAGAGCCAACCGAACGAGTTGGCGTCGATCGCCCATTCCGTGGACAGGGGAATGAACTGGGACAGGCCATCCGCCAGGACACTGGCGGAAAGCGCGAGGGGTCTGGGGCTTCCCCGCTTCCTCTCCTGGGAAAGGGAAAGCTGCGCAGATGGCGGCACGGCAAGTGGCGACGTCATGCTTGTTCACTTGTTTTTTTTTGGGGGAGTTCTGTTAACTTGTTTGACTTTCAGTAGTAGTTTTAATCAGAATAGGGGTTTGTTTTCAGATACTTACTTTTCTGGGTGCCTGACCTGGCCAATGGCAGACACAGAATGCTCCAAATCACATGTGCTATTCTACAGGCCAAAGTTCCTCATGCCTCTCTGAGGGAGCAATGTTCTGGCTCGTGGTCCTTGGTAGGCCTATAAATTCCATTCACATTGACTGATGCCAAAGTCTAATATATTACATATCAGCCTGGATAGCTCCAGGGAGCCAAAGAGGCTCCCCCAGAAAAGTATTTGTGTTTTTACAATTGCACACTTTAAGACTTAATGTTTAATAGATTTATTAACTAGTGTTTGAAATACTCCAGAATAAAGCAGCATATTACCTGCTCTTGTTGGGCAATGAGTCTTGTACTTATTTTTCGTAATTCTGCGATGGCCCTCTCATGCTCGGCTATTACTTCATTCTGTCTCGCTATCTCCCTCTCTTGTTCTCCTATCACTTTGTCTTGTCTTGCCATCTCCCTCTCTTGCTCTCCTATCACTTTCTTCTCTCCCGCTGTTATCCTAAAATATGAATGCATTTTAAATTTAAACAAAAATAGAATATTAATGCTGTATTAAAATCATTTGAAATGATTTACTCTCTACACTAACATTTTAACATTTTTAGCATTACAAGCCACAGGCGTGTTCCCAACTGTACTTTCCGGTCATCCCGTTCACCAGCACAAAACATTTATATTTTCCTAATATTTTCTCAGTTTTGGGCTTACTAAAAATAAACTGAATGAAAATGTTCATAAATTAATTTGCTAGGGTATCGATGAGAAATAAAATGCTATTTAATAATTGAATTAACACTTTGGCGTACCCCGCGCGCCACCCCTCAACTGTGCGATTTGGGTCCCAGCGTTTCACGGGAGCGCGCGTTAATTCTGAAAAGTGTATACTCTCTTCAACTTTGTCACCTCAATTCTCATCCTACGAGATTAAATTTGGTATCATTGTGTTCGCAATAGAATTCTCTACAGCACTAAATGCATATAAACTCCAAAAGCCCAGCTAATTACCCACAGCAAACAGAGAAAGTGCGAACGAGTTACCCAGGAACGCGCAAAAGCGATAAAATGTGTTCACTCTTTTCACTCTGGTCACCTCAATTTTCGTCCTAGGTCTTTCATTTTGGTTTCAATGGGTTCGCAATAGAATTCTCTAGAGGAATATTAGCATATAAAATAAAAAACCTGGTCACGCTCCACCCGCCGACGAGTTGAAGACGGGCCACGCGTTAGCCGCGAGTGAGCGCCCAGACACCTTCCAGCTACACTCCCAATTCCTGCCCACAAATGTTTAGTACAATGGGGCCTCGACTTCCGATGCTAATCTGTTCCCAGAGACGGATCGGAAGTCGAAGCGAATTTTCCCATAAGAAATAAAGGGATTTGAATTAATCCATTCCCCACCCTCGAAAATATTAACATAAAAATACATTTTATACTGAATACAATGTTTTTTTCTAACTACAATACAGTCCCAAAGTTACTCTTACCTTTATGAAGGGCTCTTGATGGTAGATGGTGATGAGGAAGGAGGAGAGTTGTTACTGTTTGGTAGGGGAGTCCCCTTCCATTATCACATCAGGCAGTGATGTTTTCTCTGGGTTACTCACTCTCCTACGTTTTGCCTGAATACCACTAGGACCTGGTTGTGGTTCAGTGCTTGTTTGTCTCACTACAAATTTGTCAAGAGACATTTGTTTTTCCCTTCGTTTTAACATTTGTCTGTAATGATGCATCACTTTAGCACCCATAATGTCCTTTTTCTTAGCCAGTATGGTGGATATCGTTGACTGAGATTTGTTGTACTGCCTAGGCAGTCCAACAACCCGCACACCATCTTCATATTTACGAATGATCTCTTGTTTCTGCTCTATGGTCATCCTTACATGGGATCTCATATGTTGAGTCTTACCACTGACTTTCCTGGGACTCATGGCGTATTATATAATAATTACTTTAATGTTCAAAATGCAAAAAATCACCACAAAAGCGGAATTTCTTATAGGCGCGATCGTCACTAAGCGGGTAGCTGTAGTAAACTGAGGCAGGTCGGACCGCGTGACCGGAACCGCGCGCTCGGCCGACCCGAACATGTACCAACAATTATCGGATGTCGCGTCACATTTTTTGATGAAATTTATATCGTTACTCGAATTTATCGTAAGTACTGTAGGGGCAATCGGATGTCGAGGTGCCACTGTATTTAGTATTTTAGTGTATGTAGTATTATAGTTTAGCATTCTTTGTGTAGTAGTTGTACATCACATAAGCATTGTAGATGGCCATTTGCACAAAATAGAAGGTCATTTTCTTCGTCCATTTGTGAGTTTTCCTTATGAAGTGATAATATTTGATCATTTGGTCAAAGTGATCAACACCTTTCATGTTTGTATTGTAGTCACAGATTGCATTCGGCTTGTTGACAGTTACCAAACAGTCCCCAAAAAATGGGATAAAAACCTGATTTTTGGCAATTATTTTAGTGGACGACGCAGCATTGCGTCATCCCCGAGATTACCGACAGTAAACAGATGACGCAATGCTGCGTCATGCCCGGACTAAAGTGTTAATTAATATGACAATACTGAATACACACATTTTTATGAACATTATCATTTCAAATAAATTTCTCAACATTCCTCATATATTTTTCAACATAAAAATAAATCATATGGAAATGAACACACAGATTATCAATCTACATTACTGTAAAAAGAATAACAAAACTTCATATTTTTCTGGCAGGTAATTTGAAAAGCACAGTGAAAATTCTCACAAGCAGAGCAACTGATGATAAGACAGTTAGCCGATGATCCCCGATACATTAATTGGTACCCAGATACACTATACTACATTGCTCTAATAAATATAATTAAAAAAAAAAAAAAGATTTTCTGTAATTTTTAGATGGATGACATTTTAGCTTCTTCAGAATGGTAAAATGTTAAATATATACAGTGGCACCTCGACTTATGATTGCCCCAACTTAAGATAATTTCGAGTTATGATGTAAATTTCATCGAAAAATGCGACTCAATATCCGATGGTGCCATCGACTTACTATATTTATTGGTACACATTCGAGTCGACCGAGCGCGTGGTTCCCGGTCACGCGGTCCGACCTGCCTCAGTTTACTACAGCTACCTGCTTAGTGACGATCGCGACTATAAGAAATTTCACTTTTGTGGCGATTTTTTGCATTTTGAACATTAACCCTTAACACTTTCGCCCGGGCATGACGCAGCATTGCGTCATCCACTTTAAATAACCGCCAAAAATCAGGTTTTTATCAGATTTTTTTGGGGACTGGTTTTAAAATGCGCGCCGATGTCTTCCCATTTTCCTTGTTGCGCCTCGTAGCCTGCAGGCGACTCGACACACGCCGTCGGCCCATTGTTTTCGCTCCACTGTTGTGACCAATGTCGCCTCCCCTCGCATCTCAAATGTGTGAACATTTCGGCTATTTTCCGTGGCTATATTTCCTACTGCAGCTTTAGAAACTATCTACGCTTACTCCACGATGGATAGTGATCATGAACAAGGCCCTTCCAGGAAGAAATTTGCGAAAGAAAGGCTTGAAAAGGGCGGGAATTGGGAGTGTAGCTGGAAGGCATCTGAGCGCTCACTCGCGGCTAACGCTTGGCTCGTCTTCAACTCGTCGGCGGTTGGAGCGTGACCAGGTTTTTTATTTTATATGCAAATGTTCCTCTAGAGAATTCTATTGCAAACCCATTGAGACCAAAATGAAAGACCTAGGACGAAAATTGAGGTGACCAGAGTGAAAATAGTGAAAACATTTTATCGTGTTTGCTCGCTCCTGGGTAACTCATTCGCACTTTCTCTGTTTGCTGCGGGTAATTAGCCGGGCTTTTGGAGTTTATATGCATTTAGTGCTGTAGGGAATTCTATTGCGAACACAATGATACCAAATTTAATTTCGTAGGACGAGAATTAAGGTGACAAAGTTGAAGAGAGTATACACTTTTCTGAATTTACGCACGCTCCCGTGACACCCTGGGGCCCAAATCGCACAGTTGAGGGGTGGCGCGCGGGGTACGCCAAAGTGTTAACATGCTCGGGGTTTAATATCCTGTCATCCCCACAGGCGCATGTCATTTTGAAAAAAAAAAAATTATTTTTTCTTCCTAACCTGTTAATTTGTGTTCACTGATCACAGGAAAAATAATAACAAATTCGTAAGTGGCATATATTGCCCGCTATAGGGCGGGGAAGTCTGGCAAATTATAGGCGCTGACTCATCATGCGTCCCAGACGGTCTGTTGCTCGCCAGCTGTCAGGCCGGAGTTGCCACAAAGAGATAATTACCTAATTATTTCAATGTCTCTGATTGATTTTTCATAGTTTTTTTGCTGTAATATTATTCAATAGTGTGTAGTTTGATATATTTATATAATAAAATGAGTGAATCATCGCTGTACTCAAAAATATGGTGTGCATATTGTTGTTTCAATTATGTTCATCAATCAGTGAACAAATACTTTGTCGGTTATTACACTATAAGCACAGGTTATATATAAGTATCTGCATGTTTTGTTCACCATAACGAACCACTAAGTAGCTATTATGAGTCAAAAAGTAATAAGGAGTGACCGCCGTGTACCAGCCAGCCACTCCCGCCCTCCCTCCAGTCATCTGACTCACCCACATTCTCCTCCCACAATGCTGTTTTTTCTATAATTCACTATATACAGACGTTATATATAAGTATCTACATGTTTTGTTCACCATAACTGTACATCTAAGCTTGTATGGTGAGTAAAGGCACAAAGACGTAGGACCTCGCACAGTCAGCTGATGGCTGCCTCCCTCAAGGCCAGACGCACTAATATTTCTCCTCCAACAATACTTTGTGGTGTTATTACGCTATATACACACATTATATATAAATATCGACCCGTTTTATTCACCATACTTGTACAAATAAACTGATATGGTGCCCAAAGACCATCGTGGTAACCAGTAAACAACACCGTCGTCTGCACGGTGGCGTAGTGCAGACGACGCCACCGCCCTCACCAAAATGGTGGCTCCAAACCTTCTCTTGCTGTTTATACCCTCTATACACACGTTATATATAAGTATCTACATTTGTGTTCACCATAGCGAACCACTAAGCTGGTATGGTGAGTGCAGTCAATAAAAGGTGGCCACACACAGTCAGAAGACATCGCCACCATCCTCCCTCCTACAGCATTACTCCTCCCTCCATGGCACACAGCACTAAATATCACCCCAATCCTGCTATTATCAGAACCCTGGTCAGTTTTATCACAGTCAGGGGTCTTCTGTAATAATATCATCGCTACATAATAGCATGAACAAGTATATTTTGGCATTTTTAGGCGATGCTGTGGTCACAAGCTGAACAGCAGTGCTGTTAGCTCATGCTGCGTGCGTCAGGCTTGGTTGCTCACTCAATACTGAGGGCAATAACACCCTTGAGTTTGGCCCACGATTTTTTTTTAAAATGGCGTCTGTTTACAAGAGCCCTGATGAAGGTGTGGAGAACCCTGTGTATCTGCGGGCCGTTTAAATCTTGCGTAGTGCTCCAACACATCATAGGACGTGATGCGCAGTTGACTGGTACAACGTCCAACACGTCATATGACGTGATGCGCACTTTAAGGGTTAAAGTAATTATTATATATCACACCATGAGTCCCAGGAAAGTTAGTGGTAAGGCTCAACATATGAGATCCCATGTAAGAATGACCATAGAGCAGAAACAAGAGATCATTCGTAAATATGAAGATGGTGTGCGGGTTGTTGGACTGCCTAGGCAGTACAACAAATCTCAGTCAACGATATCCACCATACTGGCTAAGAAAAAGGACATTATGGGTGCTAAAGTGATGCATCATTACAGACAAATGTTAAAACGAAGGGAAAAACAAATGTCTCTTGACAAATTTGTAGTGAGACAAACAAGCACTGAACCACAACCAGGTCCTAGTGGTATTCAGGCAAAACGTAGGAGAGTGAGTAACCCAGAGAAAACATCACTGCCTGATGTGATAATGGAAGGGGACTCCCCTACCGTAACAACTCTCCTCCCCCCCTCATCACCATCTTCCATACGCCATCAAGAGCCCTCCACAAAGGTAAGATAAACTTCGGTACTGTATTGCAATTAGAAAAAACATTGTATTCAGTATAAAATGCATTTGTATGTTAATATTTTGGAGGGTGGGGAACGGATTAATTCAAATCCCTTTATTTCTTATGGGAAAAATCGCTTCGACTTACGACATTTTGACTTATGTTTATGTCACTTATGTTTCAGCTCCTCGTTTTTGCCATACCCGAGTACCTGGAATTTATCACTTTTAAACATCATGTTATTTTCTGCTGCCCAATTGAAAACTGATAATATCTGTTTGTAGTTTTTCAATGTCTTCAGCAGAGGTAATTTTCATGCTGATTTTTGTATCATCTGCAAAGGATGACACGAAGCTGTTACTTGTATTTTTGTCTATATCTGATATGAGAATAAGGAACAGCAGTGGTGCAAGAACTGTACCTTGAGGTACAGAGCTTTTAACTGCGCTTGGACTCTATTTTATTTGGTTGACTGTTGCTCTTTGTGTTCTGTTCGACAGGAAATTGAGTCTCCAGCATCCTAATTTACCAGTTATTCCCATTGACCTCATTTTGTGTGCTATCACTCCATGGTCACATTAGTCGAATGCCTTTGTGCAGTCTGTGTATACAACATCTGCATTCTGTTTTTCTTCTAATGCCTCAGTGATTTTGTCATAATGGTCAAGTAGCTGTAATTACCTAAGTGTAATTACCTAAGTGTAGTTACAGGATGAGAGCTACGCTCGTGGTGTCCCGTCTTCCCAGCACTCTGTCATATAACGCTTTGAAACTACTGACGGTCTTGGCCTCCACCACCTTCTCCCCTAACTTGTTCCAACCGTCTACCACTCTGTTTGCGAAAGTGAATTTTCTTATATTTCTTCGGCATCTGTGTTTAGCTAGTTTATATCTATGACCTCTTGTTCTTAAAGTTCCAGGTCTCAGGAAATCTTCCCTATCGATTTTATCAATTCCTGTTACTATTTTGTATGTGTGATCATATCACCTCTTTTTCTTCTGTCTTCTAGTTTTGGCATATTTAATGCCTCTAACCTCTCCTCATAGCTCTTGCCCTTCAGTTCTGGGAGCCACTTAGTAGCATGTATTTGCACCTTTTCCAGTTTGTTGATGTGCTTCTCAAGATATGGGCACCACACAACTGCTGCATATTCTAGCTTTGGCCTAACAAAAATCACGAACAATTTCTTTAGTATATCGCCATCCATGTATTTAAAAGCAATTCTGAAGTTAGAAAGCGTGGCATAGGCTCCTCGCACAATATTCTTTATGTGGTCCTCAGGTGATAGAAAACTATCTAGAACCACCCCTAAATCTCTTTCTTTATCAGAATTCTTTAAAGATTTCTCACATAATATATAGGTTGTGTGGGGTCTATGTTGTGTGAGAGAGGATTTTCCCGCTCTAAATCCATGTTGGCCTGGATTGTGGAGGTCACTTGTTTCATATTGTCAATTTCTCTTTCAAAATCTGTTACACTCGTGTTGATATCAGTTATATTTATAGGTGTTTGGATATCACGCATAAAGAAGTTGTCTGGATCTTCAACTTTCATGCTGTTTATCGGAGTGCTAAACATGTCCTCATATAATTTCTTTGTAGAAGTTGGCAAGAACAAGTGAGAGAGGGGAACCCATAGCGACACCAAAAGTTTGAGAGTAGTATTTACCGCTGAAAATGAAAAAATTAGTCAATACAGAGTCTGATGAGTTCAAGGAAAATGTAAGTGGGAAGCGAGAGAGGAAGAAGGCCCTCAGTCGCCTTCTGTCTAAGAATAGAGAGAACATCATCATGGGAAACATTAGTAAACAGAGAGTCGACATCAAGACTAAGCATCTTATAGGAGGGCTGCAGGTGCAGTCTTTCTATGAAGTCCTGAGAGTGACGAAGGTGGGCAGGCGAAAAAGTGCCAAGGTATGGTGTCAGAGTTTTAGCTAGCCAGGAGACAAGAGGATAGCTGACAGAGCCTCTTGAAAAAATGACAGAACAAAGAACACCAGGTTTATGAGTCTTGGGTAGACCACAGAGATAAGGAAGAGAAGGGCAGACGATACAGAACCGTTTAAGGAGATCGGAGTCAGGAAGACAAAGACTAGAGAGCTGTCTTAGTTTGCGGTTGAAGGAAGTTTTAAGGCGATCCAAAGGGTTAGAAGTCAGAGGGGCATATATGCAGGAGTCAGAGAGCAAGACATCTACTTTCTGGAGGTGGTCCTCATGGTCAAGGACAACCACTGAATTGCCTTTGTCAGAAGGAAGGATAAGAAGAGAGTTGTTAGATTTCAGGGAGGCATGGGCAAGCTGGAAGCGACGAGGAAGGTGGTGATTTTTAGAAAACAAGCTGTCAAGAATGGGGGATAAGGGCCCCTCTAAAGGCAGACAGGTCCAAAATAGTACTAGAGTTAAAATTTACAAACTTTTCAAAGGAACTAATGAGGTCAATGCCACAGCGTGGGCCAGGGGAGGTTGCAAAAGAAAGACCAAGTCCGAGAAGTTCTTGCTGGTGCTTAGAGAGAGGGGAAGATGAAAGGTTGGTAACACAGCCAGAGTATTTAGCCTAAATACCAAGTATTTAGCCCAAGTACAGTGCCTGATTTCCAAGTAATTTGTTGGAAATCAGGCCCTGTAGTTTGCTGTGTAGTGTAGAGGAGTGGTGGGTAGAGGAGAGGTGAGCAGTGTCAAACGCAATGGGAAATAGGATATTGCATAGATCACTGGGAAGAGAAGAAGGCAGAAAGCGTTGATGTTGACGTACTGTTAGAAAAGCATCGTCAACTTGCAAGGTGGTGGAGTGAATAAGTTCTTGAAGAAGAAGGTGGGCATGTTCAGGAAAAGGAGAACCCGAAGTGTTGAACTGGAGGAAGTGAGATAACGAAAGAGGGAGAACTTGCTCACCAAGACAGTCTTTAAGAAACCTGAGCTGGTTCTTTCGACGTTTTGCGGCAAGAAGGGAAGACTCGAAGGCGCGAAAAGGCTGTTTAAAGGAAGGTAGGGCACTGACGAAATTTAACAGAGTAAGATGCTTTCATGTGGGATCCATATGCAGATGAGGAATCACAATAACATGGCTGAAAAATGTTGACCAAACCATACACTAGAAATAACGAGATGTGATGACGAGATGACGGTGTATGAGGGTGTGTGGCACGAGGTGTAATGATGTGTTACTTTGTTTTTCTTTAGGGGAGTTTCTTGCTTCTGTTCGGTCTTCAGTTGTAGTTTTTCTACCAGGAGGAGTCTGTTTTGAAGGGCCAAACTTTCTGGGTGCTCAACCCCGATCGATGGCAGACACGAACACTTTCATACATAAGAGTTTCAAAGGTCAATGCTCCCTTCGCCTCTCTGAGGAGACCATGTTCTGACTAGTGGTCCCCGGTAGGCCTGACAACTTCCTAAGACTGAAGCCCATTACTAATATTAGCTAATATCAGTCCAATAGCTCCAGGGAGCCAACGGGGCTCCACCACAGAAAGTTCCTTCTAATGTCTCTATGGCTCATTTAAGTACTCAGTTCCACCTGTGTACCCTTGTGCATGTAACACCTGTGTTAAATAAACTGTCTATCTACCCAATCTGATAATCTATCTACCTCTGATAATCTTGTATGTTGTGATCACGTCTCCCCTAACTTCTTTCGTCCCACGACATGAGGTTCAGTTCCCATAGTCTCTCCTCGAGGCTAGTAATGGTACACTGTCAGTGATATTGTACCTTGTGGCCCTTGTGGTCCTTGTGGCCCTTGTGGCCCCTTGTGGCCCCTTGTGGCTTCCTAAAGCCACAAGGGGCTCGCTGCAGAAAAAGACTAGAGATGAGTACGCTGGAAGGGTGATTCCTTTCCTCCAAAATTATATAATTTGCTGGTGAATTATTTCTTCAAGTGTGGTCATGGACATCAAGTCAGGTAAGAAATTATAATGCGAGGACTTGTAATGAAATTCCATCAGCATTTCAGCATCACTGACAACCACCACCACCATATCTCTCTCTTACACTACATCATACACACTATGTAGCATCACAACCACTGCCAACTACCAGCAAATCATCCTCATTAGTACCTCACAACCTCACAAGACTATATGTGCACTGCTGACCTTACCTATCCAGTCTTTCACGGCTGCTTGTATTTTGTGCGATGTGATGCAGATGATCATGTGTGGCATTATTTGTCTGGATTAAATCTGAATCAAACTCACTCTGTTTATGCTTCACATTGTTTAGGTAGGAATTATGTCCAAAGTAAACGGGATGATCTGGGATTTTTCGAGGAAAATCATTCATCTTGTGGCGAGTGTGGACATTCTGGAGCATGTACCCCTCCTCATTTTGGTTTGTATGAGAATCAGGCTCCACTTCAGTACCAATTTTTAGGTTTTCACTGTATAAATCTTGGGGGAACCTACTGGTAATATTTGAATGTATCTGATCTTGTTGAATATTTTGGTAAGCAGGATGAATATTGTTTTGATCAGTAGGTGTAGGAAACACTGTAGGAAACCGAGAAGCAGCAGCATATTCTGAGAAAGGAGGGTTGCCAACACCACCCGAAGTGCCTTGTCCACTGATGAAAGCCTCCAAAGCTCCAACCATGCCACTACCCTCACTGTCACCTGGTAAAAAAAAAAAAAAAAAAAAAAAAAAGCATTGAATTTAATGAAATGCTATTTTCTGGGCGAGTCCCAGAGGCTCACTGGACCTATCCAGCTAATATGTGAATCATTACAGGGGACTTAGTCTATAGAGTTCAGCCAATCGGGGTCCATGAGCCAGAACCTGGCCCCCTCAGAGAGGCGCAGGGAGCAATAGCCCTGGAACCCCCCCCCTTCCCCCTGTGGTTGGGGCTTTTTCTTATCTGCCATCAACCGGGGTTAGGCACCCAGAAAGGTAGGCAAATCAAAACAGACCCCACATGGTAATAAAAATGCAACCAAAAACCGAACAGAGAGGCAGAACTCCCTCCAATCACAAGGAAACACGCAAACGTCACACTATCACCGCATCGCTCGCCCGTGTATCCCCCCCCCCCCAACGCCAGTGACCCAGCCACTTTAGTTCGGAGGCTAAGCATCAACCACACAAAAACTGCTGACTAGAAGGAGAGAGGGATGCCAGGTAGCCCCGGGGCTCACCCAGAAAATGGCGTTTCATTACATTCAACGCTGGTTTTCTGTGTGGGAGCTCCTTCATCTCCCTGGAGCTACATAACCAAAGATAAGGAAAAGGGGGACTTACCCGGGACGAGGCTGCCACACACTCCTCAACTCGAAGTCGAGACAACTGGTTGCAACCTGCAACCCAAAGTAACAGAAGAACGCCCAGGCCCAGGAACGTTAACAAAACATCGGGCGGTCAGAACCCTGTTCAACCTTCAAAATCCCTGTACCCAAATATCAGCCCAAGACATGTTGCCAAACACGGCAACCAATGCAGCAAACTTCCTAACGTCATGGGCACAAGGATAGGCTGCAGGCTGGCTAGACTTAACTCTGCAGACAATCTGGGAGACCCGAGCCCTGGAACAGGGAATGAGGGAACCGGATCAAAGCGCATCTCCGGCCACAGAAGCCGAAGCGCACAGGTAATGGAGAAGAGCCACAACTGGACACAACACATGAGGAACCCCCAGCCAGACCAACCAAGCATCAAGAACCCAAGGATCCCTCCAGATAGTAACTGTCTCATTCTTCCCCAGAAAAAGAAGGAGAAGGCTGCAACCAAACAAACTGACTACCAGGACCGAAGCAGCAGAAATCCCTGTGCCGGAGAAAATCACAAAGTTCACCAACCCAACCCCCAAACGCGAATGTTGATAGAAACACAGCCTTGGAAAAAAACAGCATTGAATGTAATGAAGTTTTAAGGTTTTAAGGTTTGCCACAAACGACTGAAGGGTGAAGAGGGAGAACGGCCTGTTGACATAGCTCGAGTGCATGGGGGAGTTGTGTAAAATCCTGGTTTGTGCCTTGGAGAGGCTGCAGGATTCACTAAGTTCAGTAGAACTTGGGTTTCAACTCTCTTTATCATGTCCTAGCTCAGTCGATTAAGGCAGCGTCTGAAATGCTCCCGGACGTAGGTTCGAATCCTCGTCGCAGCCCTTGTGGATTTGGACATCATGCTCGTTTGCTCGTTTTTGTTTGGAGAGTTCTGTCCACTAGTTCGGCTTTGTTGCAATTTCTTAACCAGAATAGGGGCTTGTGCCTGACCCAGTGGATGGCAGAGTGCTTCCTACCACATGGGGGTTTCTATTCGTCATTGCTCCTCGTGCCTCTCTGAGGGGGCCAGGTTCTGGCTCGTGGTCCCCGGTAGGCCTATGAACTCCTATGAAATGACTGCTGCCAAAGTCTAATACTAGCAATATCAGTCTGGAAAGCTCCGGGAAGAAGATGGGGGCTCCCCCCAGAAACAATCTTGAACCGAAGGGGCCACCACGAACCGAGGAGAAGAAAGATAGGAGAGCACCTTATCCAAGGATCAGGATGGCTCAGGTGGTGCATAAGCAGGCCAGAGGTGAAACAAAGCATGAGAAAGCTTACGGAATTGGGCAGAAATAACATCCACCACGAATGCAAGCTGGAGTGGCTCCTCCAATGCAGCAAGATACGAGGCGACAGTATTAGGCATCAAATGACGACCCAGAAAAAGGCAAGACAGAAAGTACAAGACAACCCGATCAGAAATAGAAGACAACCTATGAGGAGATAGAAAATGGCAGAATAAACGCAAGGAAACTTCATACTGTCACCGAGACAAAGCTCTCAGGTGGAACACCATCAACGAAACCACCTGTTCACAATACAAATGATGATAAGCAAAGTAAAAAAAAAAAGACAGACGTGAGGAGCGGAGGAGAAGACTGAACTAGCCATGTACCGGACCAGTTAGACCTGCTGGAAGAGGCGGAGCCACTGAAAACGCCCCGGGTTCAGACACCAAGCAAGCAGCTCCTGAAACCTCAGCCACTTGGTGGCTGGCTCAGTCAACCGGTCTGGGCAAGGTGTTGCTAACCAGTTAAGACCCAAAGCTAACAAAGGGGAGAGATCAAAACTCTGAAACCGGTTTGACGTGTACAATCACGGGAGCCTAGCAGAGGGCCACCAATATATTATAAGTGGAACTATAGCCACACCAGGCAGACCCTCCACCAGCAAGGAAAACAAAAACAAAAGAACAGCCCCATAAAAGTACAATGTCCCCAGAAGAAACAGGAACTGGCCTCCGCGTAGGTAGGCAGGCTGCACAACACCTTGAAGCCCCAATTGCAGGCGATGAGTGTCAATAACGTGGCTGAAGTATGTTGACCAGACCACACACTAGAAAGTGAAGGGACGACGACATTTCGGTCCGTCCTGGACCATTCTCAAGTCGATGACTTGAGAATATTGAAGCCCCAATAAGCACGATACCAATCCCTACCCAAGGCCAAACAAGGGCCACAAAACCCCAGCTGGCCCCAAGGGCGGGGTAAATGCCGAGCAGCAAAAACCCCTACGGAATTGGTTCCCGAATGCACCAGGGAAGAGAACCCTAACATGCAAGGGTATTACTCAAGGTGCATAGGGGAGGATAAGCACATGCAGTGCATGCAACACTGATACTCGTCGTGTGTGGTCGTCCAGGACACCTGGACGACCACACATGACACCACAGAGGACACCACGAAGGCAAACACTGCATGGAAAGTGAGGCCAAAGAAGACGTTTGTCTCGGTTCGCACTAGGTGACAAACTGGAGTGGCTGGGTCGCCAGTGCTGGGGGTCCAGGGGGTGGGGGCTGTGCTGACGAGCGACCCGGTGATAGTGAGAGACGTTAGCTTGTTTGCTTGTTTCCTTGGGATTGGAGGGAGTTCTGCTTCTATGTTCAGTTTTCGGTTGGAATTTTCTTACCATGTGGGTTTGGTTTTGTTATGTTTACCTTTCTGGGTGCCTAACCCAAGTCGATGGCAGATAAGGAAAACCCCCAACCACAGAGTGGTTTTCCAGGGCCATTGCTCCTTGCGTCTCTCTGAAGGGGCCAAGTTCTGGTTCGTGGTCCCTGGTAGGCTGAACTCCATAGACTACTGCCCCAGTCTAATGATTCACATATTAGCCCAATAGCTCCAGGGAGCCAAAAGGGCGTCCCACAGAAAAAAAAATTATTTTAGAATCCACTAAGCATACAGTGGAACCCACAAAATCAGCAACTTTCTATAATAGATCGCTCAAAAGAATATACCAAATTCAGTCACTGGATCTCTTCTCCAAATTGTGCATTTTACACAAAAAAAAGATATGAATAAATTTCTTGTAGAGCATATTTCTCAAAATGTTATATTACTGTCGATAATACAGCAAATTACCAACAGAGAAGGCAACAAAAAGGGCACTTACCAGAGAGGAGGCAGCACTGCTTGTATCAATCCAAAGAAGAGACTGTCGGTCGTGACACACGACCGAAAGCTACACAAGGCCGCTGAGGACCACGGACATTCACAAGATACCTGGCCGCAGACCAGGTATCCCCCCCCCCCCCCGCGCTTGAATATCGATGCAAGGCATATTAGCAAACACAGCCATTACAGCAGCATACTTATGGACAATATGGGCATGAGGGCAGACAGCAGGCTGGCTAGACTTAATGACAGTGCAGGCGACCTTCAACATAAGAGCCCTGGAACAGGCAACCAGGGAAACCGGATCAATCCACAGCGAGTCCGCCAAAGCAGAACTGGTGGCACGAAGGTAACGGCGAGCCACACAGCCGCAAACTCCTGCACAGTGTTGTAAGCCCAGAGCATGGACAGCTGCCAATGTCCCTGGCTGGACTGGTGAGCACTGGACACAAAGCCCCAGTAGACAGACGAGGCATCAGTGAACACATCGAGCGAGGGAGGAGGGCACTATGGTCTTGAACCCAGAAAAACCCAAAAGAAGAAGTTGGTGATGCAGCAAGCGACCTAGGGACACCAGGTGACAACCCAGTAATTGCAAGAACAGCAAACGAGACTGCCCCAAAGATACCAGAACAGCCTCCAAAACCAAACCCTGTCCAAAAGAAAAACCAGAGGAGAAAAGTTCAGGTTTCCCGCACAGCTGCTCGAGCAAACACTCGAGCAGTTGCGGCCTTGCACCCATGCAGTCCCGCCGTCGGCTGTTTTGAGGAGGACCCGGGTCACGGCCACGGGAGGGAGAAAAAGGGCCGCAGTCTGAGAATTTTAAAGGCACAGGAGTGCTGCGGACTCTGTTGCTCAGTTTTTGTCGGCAGCTTCTGTGAATTGCCGTCCAGTTTGACTTCTTGTGTGTCTGGGGGTGGGGGAGGCTGATCTCGTTGGTCGTCCAGGAGGGTAGGGTTGCGGCTTTGCCTGCTTTTGGTCAAGGTGGGTCATGTGGTGTGCCGACAGCTGGGTCTGTTGCATTTTCCCCAGCTTCTTCAGTTAGTTCAGAGGGAACCTGTTTGGAGGACTGGATTCCATGGTTCGCGTCGGCCTTTCGTAGATTACCCCTTTGATGAGGCGGTTGGGGGGGAGGCTGGCTCTGTTTGTCCATGATTGGTCCCACATTGTGTTGGCATTTTCAGTCGTGTTGCACGGTCTGTGGTGGAGTTGGGCAGTTCCATCTCCTTTGAGGGGTTCGGG